TGTACCCTTCATGGAGATATCAGGAGTCTATTAGTCCCCTAATGTCACCTAGGGACCTCAAAGAAACTGATTAAACAGAGATCTGCTTCACCAGCTTCTTCTCTGGTTACAGCAGCTGGAGAACTGACAGACTGAAGTCTGGAAGTGATGTAAAACACATCCCTTCCAGGTCCAGTGATCGGAGGGGAGATTAACCGCTGGAAGTATGCTGATCTCCCTCTGATCTGGCCACAGAGACCCCGCCTTCGTCCGTTGTAAACAATGTGCACACAAGCAGGGTGGCTGGAAAATACTTTTTAAAAGTCATGAGTGAGCTGTCCAGCCGTCTCATTTGCCAAAACTTTGTTTAAGATAAGAGAGGGATGGATTAGTTTCTGCATTGTTTTTATACTTCTTTACCCATACTACAGATGCAAAGGAAATCTCTTCGTGAGGAGGAACACATACAGTAATAAGTGCACTTGTAAATATAACCCAACAATAAAACAGAAATAAAACAGAAATACCCACTTTCTTTGATGGTTAGCAGAAAAGTGCCTTCTTACACTGGTGATGTGACAGTAAGGCTGTCTGGGCACCCCCAAAACTATTTAGGAAACCCTGCCGTTCCCTTTGTTCACCTATTCCACAGATTAAAAATATTTGTTTTTTTAGAGTCTTCAAACCCCCTTAAATGATATATTTGGCTCTATGTATCATGCACCTCTTTCTTATGCGATACAGAGGTCCAACGACACATTACCCCTTCTGATGGAGCCATACACCACAGGATGTCAAGTCTGGTATGCATAAAAGCGAATTTCATAACGTACAATCATCTACGGCTTATCAGATGGTAGCATGTAGTGAAATACAGAATATGGCTGCATTTAGGAAAGTGCCATTATGGGAGGGCCAGGTGAAATATAAAGCTCTTCAGCTCCCTTTCCTCACACCATGGAGCCTTTCTGATTGAGCCAGCAATCCCAATTACCCAATCACACTGTCAAGAAGGCCCCCAAAAAGCTGCTGCACAAGGCAGCTGGAGTTCTTTACCATAAAGCAAAAAAAAATCTTGGTTCTAGATCAGTGGTTGTCAACCTTTCTAGGGCCGGTACCCCTTGGTAACATTTGCCAAGTTGTGGTGACCCCCAACAGTAAAATTTAGGGATCACGCGGCTGCTGCAGTCACATCTGGCGGCAGAACTGACACTGCTGCGCTAGGAGAGGGCTGAGAAGGACCCTCACCTAGCACAGCAGAAATCACACAGCGACCCACAGGTTGAGAACCACGGGCGTACGCTGTCAGAATAAAAAAAACACCATAGGAATGCATAGCTAGATTCCTATTGGCTATTTCACTTTGCAATAGCAAACTAGCTAATGCACCAGCCCTCTGCTGCTGTCAATCACTAGAAGAGGACCTGGTGGAGAACTTCAGGTCGCCCTCTGCTGATTGGCAGCAGCAGCAGAGGGTGGGTGCAATAGCTAGTTTGCTATTGCAAAGTGAAATAGCCAATTGGAATCTAGCTATGCATTCCTATGGTGGTTTTTTCTGACTTACAGCGGCCCCCGATGTCGGAAAGAAAAAAAAAAAAAAAAAAGGGATAAAGAGTTTCTCTCTTGGGCGTCCGGGAGCCGCTGATAG